AACATTTGTATAACTACCCATCTGACAAGAGATTTATAGCCAGAATATATAAAGAGCTCAAACAACTCTCTAGGAAAAAAAAAATCTAACAATTCAATTAAAAAACGGGCAAAAGAACTGAATAGACATTTCTCAAAAGAAGATACATAAATGGCAAACAGGTATATAAAAAGGTGCTCAACAGTACTGATTACCAGAGAAATGCAAATCAAAACTACAATGAGCTACCATCTCACTCCAGTAAAAATGGCTTTTAACCAAGAGACAGTGAATAATAAATGGTGGTGAGGATATGGAGAGAAGAAAACCGTTGTACACTGTTGGTGGGAATGTAAGTTAGTGCAACCACTACGGAGAACAGTTTGAGTGTTCCTAAAAAACTAAAAATTGAGCTACCACATGATGCAGCAATCCCACTGCCAGGTATACACCCAAAAGTATACTGAAGAGATATCTGCATTTCCATGTTTGTTGCAGCCAAGATTTAGAAGCAATCTAAGTGTCCACCAACGGAAAAATGGATAAAGCAGATGTGGTACATGTACACAATGGAGTACTATTCAGCCATAGAAAAAAATGAGATCCTATCATTGGCAAAATGGAAGGAACTGGAGGTCATTACATTAAGTGAAATAAGCCAGGCATGGAAAGATAAACTTCACATGTTCTCATTTATTTGTGGGTGCTAAAAACTAAAATAATTGAACACGTGGAGATAGAAAACAGAACTACGGTTACCAGAGGTTGGGAAACATAGTGGTGTGACAGGGGTGGCAGGTGGAGTGAGGGTGATTAATGAGTACAAGAAAACTCAGAAAGAATAAGATTTGATACTTGATTTTTTTTGGGGGGGTTGGGGGGGCAAGACAGAGTCTCACTCTGTCACCCAGCCTGGAGTACAGTGGTGTGATCTCATCAGCTCAATGCAACCTCCACCTCCCAGGTTCAAGCAATTCTCCCACCTCAGCCTCCCAAGTAGCTGGGATTACAAGCGTGTGCCACCATACCTGGCTAATTTTTGTATTTTCAGTAGAGAAAGTATTTCACCATGTTGGCCAGGCTGGTCCTGAACTCCTGACCTCAAGTGATCTGCCTGCCTCCCAAAGTGCTGGGATTACAGGCATGAGCCACTGCACCCATCGGTCAATAATAATTTAATTATATATTTATAAATAACTAAAAGAGTATAACTGGATTGTTTGTAACCACAAAAGACAAATGCTTGAGGGTATGGATACTCCATCTACCATGATATGATTATTACCTATTTGATAAAGTATACCTATATCAAAATAACTCAAGTACTCTATTAATATATAGAGATATACACACACACATCTATTGTGTACCCACAAAAAATTTAAAAACTTTTTAAACAAGACTTTAAAATATTAGGAATGGGCATGGTGGCTCATGCTTGTAATCCCAGCACTTTGGGAGGCCGAGGTAGGGGGATTCACGAAGTCAGATCAAGACCATCCTACTACACGGTGAAGGCCCATCTCTACGAAAAATACAAAAATTAGCTGGGCATGGTGGCATGTGCCTGTAATCCCAGCTACTCGGGAGGCTGACACAGGAGAATTGCTTGAACCAGGGAGTCGGAAGATCTGCACCACTGCACTCCAGCCTGGTGACAGTGCGAGACTCCGTCTCAAAAACAAAAAAAGAAAAAAAGGAATAAATAAATATGATTATGACTGTATTCTTTAAGTTGCACATAAAAAATAATAAAAGAAAATGTTTTACTCTTGTGTATTTGAACTAGATTTTCTATTTTTCTCATTTTTCTTTGTATTTTTAAATGAGCATTTATTTCTTTTATTAAGAAGGAAAATTAACAAAAATTTCCCCTGCCAGCTGTCTGTATCTGAGGGCAAGGACAGGGGAAGATGAAAACAGTTAAATCTTAAAAAAGAACCCTTCGGTGTATGTGCATATAATAACGCCTCTTGTCCTACTTCCCATTTAAAGTATTGCTAATAACCTCAGGGAGCTCCAAGTCCTCTATCCATATTAGCCTCATTTTGTCTAGCTGATATATGTGGATTCCATGTAAGATTTTACTTGGGAAAAGGGTTCTACTGGTAAAACAAAGAACAATAATCTCTACCCATTTTCTACTCAGTCAATCAGCCTGTGATCCCAGCAAACTACCTTGATTAGTACCTTCCCTCTACACCAAACCTCAGTCACCAAATCTACTTTTAAAATATTATTCATGGGTTTTTTTCCCTTTTTTTTTTATTTTTTGAGACAGAGTTTTGTTGTTGCCCAGGCTGGAGTACATGGCATGATTTCAGCTTACTGCAACCTCCACCTCCCAGGTTGAAGCAATTCTCCTGCCTCAGCCTCCCAAGTAGCTGGGATTACAGGCATGTCCCACCACGTCCAGCTAATTTTCTGTATTTTTAGTAGAAATGGGGTTACTCCATGTTGGTCGGGCTGGTCTCGAACTCCCGACCTCAGGTAGTCCACCCGCCTCAGCCTCCCAAAGTGCTGGGATCACAGGAGTGAGCCACCGCACCTAGCCTCATGTTTATCATTTCTTTTCCTTCCCTTCTGCCACTATCTTCTACCCTTGTTCTTTTTCACCTGAATTTGGTGGTAACTTCTGAGAACTTACTGCTGCTGGCTCTTCAGGATCACCTGCTCTTCTAGTTTCATTTACATTCTGCTTCCAGCATTCTCTTTCTGATGGTATCTACTTTATTAAGGACAGGAGAAAACCAAAGTGTTTTTCCAACTCTTTGTACATCATTTAACACAAAACACTTTGCCTCTGGTCACCAAAATGTGTGGGGATTTCTCCCCACTGCAAGCAATCAATCTGACACTACCAAAAGATCACATCAGATCCCACTGGTTAAGGGCTCAGAGCCACAATACTGTCCCCTACTTTACATGCCAGTTCCAAGCCCAGGGTTGTGACCTGTGCTTTTGACCAACCAGTTGGAGTTCCCCCAACTCCCTACTCAGGTTCAATTAATTTGCTAGAGCGGCTCACAGAACCCTAGCAAAAGGGAAACACTTTACTTACGTTTATCAGTTAATTTTAAAAGGGTATAACAAAGGACATAGATGAACAGGATGAACAGTCAGAAGAACATATACATAAAGGAAGGTGTGGAAGGCCCCAAGCTCAGAAGCTTCTGTCCCCAGATTTGGAGTGCGCCACCCTCCTGACACACGGATGTGTGCACAAACCTGGATGCTCTCCAAACTTTACAGCTTAGGGATTTTTATGAAGGCTTTATCACAGAGGTATGATTAATTATTAACTCAATTTCCAGCCCTTCTCCCATCTCCAGTGAATAGGGGGTAGGGCTGAAAGCTTCAAGGTTACAATTGTGGCTTTATCTTTCTGGTGACTAACCCCAATCCAAGAGCCCACCAAGAGTCACCTCATTCGTACAAAAGTCATGCCTAATTACCCAGGAAATTCTGAGGGATTTAGGAGCTCTGTATCAGATGCTCCTGTCATTCAGGAAATTACAAAGGTCTTAGGAGTTCTGTGTCAGGAACTGGGGTCAAAAACCAAATATTACAACAAAAGGTTCTCCTAGTACTCCCTTCTACAAGGGTATTAGGAACTCTGTCTCAGGAATCAGGGTGTTGATCAAATAATATAAGAAATGATTCTCCTAGCACCCCTATCATTCAGGAAATTACAAGGGTTGCAAGAGTTCTGTGCCAGAGAGCTGGTGCAGAGACTAATATACGTAGTCATGTGTCAGTTAACAACGGGGTAAGTTCTGAGAAATGCATTGTTAGGTGATTTCATTGTTGTACAAACATCATGGAGTATACTTACACAAACCTAAATGTGGACAGCATGTTACTGTACTGAATACTGTAGGCAACTGTAAAGCCAACATATGGTAAGTTTTTGTGTATCTAAACATAGCTAAACACAGAAAAGGTACAGTAAAAACACACCATTATCTTATGGGACCACTGCTGGATAGCCATCCATTATTACTGAAACATCATTATGCAGCAAGTGACTGCATTTCTTACTATTTCACACACTTTTCTTTTTTTTGAGACAGGGCCTCACTCTGTCAGATAGGCTGGAGTTCAGTGGCATGATCTCAGCTCACTGCAACCTCCACCTTCTAGGCTCAAGTGATCCTCCTGCCTCAGCCTCCAGAGAGGCTGGGACTACAGGTGCATGCCATCACATCAGCTAATTATTTTGTATTTTTTGTAGAGGTGGGGTTTTGCCATGTTGCCCAGGCTGGTCTAGAACTGCTGAGCTCAAGCAATCCACCCACCTTGGCCTCCCAAAGTGTTGGGATTACAGGCACGGGCCACTGTATACTGCCTATTTTACATACTTCTTTACTCATTAAGTCTCGGTCTCATTATAGATTACGACTAATATTATGACTAGATAACTTTATTATCTAGGTCTCTACTGTATAGTCACCACCTCTGCTACACTGCTACTTCCTCAGTGCATTCCTCTCTGACGCACCCTATCTAGATCTGAATCTCCTTGCTATTTCATCCTTAGTCCCATAACCTGATAAATAGATTTTTTTTCACATAATCAGTATTTTATGTGTATATGTTTGTAATCTATCTTCCTCACCAGAATGTAAGCTCCATGAGGGAAGGGACTTTGTTCTATTCCTTATTTATCCTTAGCACTCAGAAAAATGCCTGGCACATAGTAAGTAAGTACTATTTAATAAATATTTCCTGAAGCAATGAAAGAATGTGGCCTACCTCTCAGGTCTCATTTCTTGCCACATACAATGCCATCTCTCCTTCCTTCCTTCCTTCCTTCCTTCCTTCCTTCCTTCCTTCCTTCCTTCCTTCCTTCCTTCCTCCCTCCCTCCCTCCCTTCCCCCTCCTTTTTTTTTTTTAAACCGGGATAAATAGCTTTATTTGGACTGAGAGCTGGAAAACGAGACTAGGACCTGACACAGCATATTGGGCTAAAAAGGAAAGGTGAGGTTCCAAAATGGCAGTCAAAGCTCATTGACCAAACAGACTCTACTTCTCAGCAACCTTGCAGTTAGTGCAACCAACAAAAGGCCTGCTGGGGAATGTATTTGCCACTGAATTCCCCAAGTATGCCAACATTACAAAAAAAAATTGAGGTTTTTCATCATAATCAAGTTTCCACAAATCCCCCCAATCACAAGTATTATAAGAGGAAGCAAAAAAATCACATTTTACAGATCTCAAACTTATCTTCAACACTTAGTTCATCATCTTCAAAAAATAGCTCTCCTGCTAAACTCATTAGCTATATAATCTATCCAAACAGCAAGAAAGTGGCCATGCCATGGCAATCATCTTCCCATTTTCCCTAGGCACTCAGGGCTGAACAGCAGGGTGAGGCTCAGGTGGTGGTAAGGGTGGGGAGCTCAAGAGCTACTTTCCCCCAAAACAACAGGGCATCTGAAGCTTGATAGGAGAGCAGAACTGGTGAGACCTGAGGGAAGGGTCCAGGGCCTGGATCCAGTCAGAGTCACTGCTGGAAGAGGAGGAGGAAGAGGAGAAGCAATGCCTGCCATGCTTGTGGTGCTGGTGCATGTTTTTATAAGCTTTCTTCATTTTCTTCTACATCTTCTTGTCCACTATCACTCCTGGACCAACCATGCCAGGGGCCAAGGGATTCTAAGGAGGCATTCCAGGGGCAGGCAGTGGGTACGAAGGAGGGTAGGGACCCGAGGGTGGGCATTCTGGATACCCTGGCTGTGGCACAGGATGAGGGGGCCCACCTAGGGGGAAAGCTGGATTGCCCTGGGAAGCTCCTGCGGAAGGAGCCTGGTGGAAAAGGTGGATTGATAGGTGGTAGACGGGCAAGACTGGAACCTCCAGGGTACCCAATGTTGGGGGGATGTGGATTTGGCCCTGGCTGCCCAGCATTGAGATTCCATGTTTAGGTGTGTCCTCCAGCCCTGTCACCTTTCCACAACTTCCTGGGCTTCATGCGTTCTCCTTCTCAGTCACCCCATCTTTCTTTATATGTGTTTCACATCTACACTACTTTCCCTTCTGTAGCACTGGCTGGAGGTATCCCAACCCTGGAGCATTCCAGCTCTCTTTTTTTTTTTTTTCCATTTTTGAGACAGAGTCTTACTCTATCACCCAGGTTGGAGTACAGTGGTGCAATCCTGACTCACTGCAACCTCCACCTCCCGGGTTCAGGCGATTCTTGTGTCTCTGCCTCCTGAGAAGCTGGGATTACAAGCGTGCGCCTGGCTAATTTCTGTATCTTTTGTAGATACAGGGTTTCACCATGTTGGCGAGCCTGGGGTCTCGAACTCCCAGGCTCAAGAGATCCACATGCCTTGGCCTCCCAAAGTGCTGGAAATATAGGTGTGAGCCAATGCGCCCAACCTTTTTTTTGAGACAGGGTCATGGTCTATCACCCAGGCCGGAAGGCAGTTGTGCAATTATAGCTCACTGCAGCCCCAAACTCCTGGACTCAGGCAATCCTTCCACCTCTGCCTCCCAGGGTGCTGGGATCACAAGCGTGAGCCACTGTACCAGGCCAGATCTCCTGCTCTTTTTTCTTTTGGGATGGAGTTTCAATCTTGTTGGCCAGGCTGGAGTACAATGACACAATCTTGGCTCACTGCAATCTCCGCCCCTACCCGGGTTCAAGCAATTCTCCTGCCTCAGCCTCCCAAGTAGCTGAGATTACAGCCATGCACCATCATGCCCAGTTACATTTTTGTATTTTTAGTAGAGAAGGGGTTTCACCATGTTGGCCAGGCTGGTCTCAAACTCCAGATCTCAGGTGATCCACCTGCCTCAGCCTCCCAAAGTAATGGGACTACAGGCATAAGCCACCACACCTGGCCCCTGTCTTACTTATTAGTGCTGCTGAACAAAAGTAGTCAACCTCCTGGATTAAGATCTTTAAATTTAACCTCAACTGAGTTCAGTGCTGCTCTAACATTCTACGTTTTCTTTGTCAATGCTCTTGTATTTGTGCTTTCACCCTCTCTACTCGGTAGAAAAATAAAAGCCGTAGAGAACCCAATGGAAATTCTAGAACTGAAAAATGCAATGTCTGAAAAAAAATCATTGGCTAGGATTAATAGAACAGTGATAACTGAAAAAAATAACCCATGGCCTGGGGATTGGGGACCCCTGCTCTAGAGTATATCTCCCACCTGAGACACAAACCCTTTGAGGAAGTTGACGTTTCCCTCATAGCTATTTGTATTGTAATAGCATACATCTTGTTCCTACTGTTTATAATGGAAATTTTCAAATATATACAAAAGAAAAGAGAAAGAAAAGTCATAATGAAACCCCACAGAGATATTACCTAGCTTAAACAAATAATCAACTTTAGACAATATCGTTTTATCTATAATATCACCCACTTTATCCTATTTCCCCAGTGGATATTTTGAAGCCAATTCCAGACATATCATTTCATCCGTAAACCTTTTAGCATGTATCTCTACATACCACAAGATACTGTTCAAAGAGACATATTGAAAGATACTGCTGGTTCCTATATAAATTATTGTACTGGTAGACCAGAATTTTTTTTCTTTTTTTTTGAGATAGGGTCTCATTCTGTCACCCAGGCTAGAGTGCAGTGGCATGATCATGGCTCACTGCAGCCTCAACTTTCCAAGCTCAAGCAGTCCTCCTACGCTGGCCTCCTGAGTAGCTGGGATCACAGGCACATACCATCATGTCCCGCTAATTTTTTGTAGACAATGTCTCATCTGACTATGTTACCCAGGCTGGTCTCAAACTCCTGGGCTTAAGCAATCCTTAAGCTTGGCCTTCCAAAGTGATGGGATTACAGGTGTGAGCCACTGCACCAAGCCAGTGGTCCAGATTTCTGATATAAGCATTCCTCCAGTAAGCCACATATTAGTCAAAGAAAATATAAATACACACAATATAGAAAACATATATATATATATTTTTCTCTACTGTACTTCGTTACAAGTTAAACCACTTGAAAGTAGGACTCTCAAACAAGAAAATCAAGAAAACAGTAGTCTGAATAGTTTCCATTATAATAAGATCATTGTTAAAGGATCTTAGAGATCTCTCAGGAAAAAGAAAACTCACACAGGAAAACCCTCCATCTCTCGAGGTAAATGACTTTCACACAACACAAGTTATTTGGCATGGAACAAAGTGCTAATATTATAAAATTATTATACATAAAGTAATACATGTAGCTACATATTTTATAAAACAAATGCAATAAAATTAGCTTAATTCAGAAAAATTTCATTCAATAACCCTTACCTTTTGTTGGACTGAGATTCTGATCTATAAATCCTCTTACTTCGGCATTTGTGGAAGTCAAACCAACCTGAATAAAATAGTTTAAAAAGTTAAAAATAGAATATTAAGTAGTATGTAATCAATTAATAAGCTATTTTATATCCTCCACCAGACATTCGTATCAAATATATATAGCCACGGAAAATTAATTAATTAATTATATTAACCATAGGAGTATTATTTAAAAATGAAATGTTGACACGTTGCTTAAAGGGGAAAAATATTGCCTGTAGTTCCAACTACTTGAGAGGCTGAGATGGGAAGATCGCTTCACCCTGGGAGGCAGAGGTGCTGCAGTGAGCTGGGATCATGCCACTGCACACCTGCTCACTCATGATCTCAGTAAGCTGAGATCATGCCTGGGTGACAAAGTGAGACCGTGTCTCAAAAAAACGTGAGGGAAAAAACAAAAAAAATAAAAAAAAAAGTGAGGGGAATATGAATTGTCCAGCTTAAGATAAAAATTAATGAAATACTGTTACTTTTGAGCAGAACTGAGATTTTACAGATTTTACTGACAGTTCTTTGAAAGCAAGTAAGTAATTTAGCAGTCATCAAGTTGCCAATAGATATTTCAAAATTCCATCCTCACTGCTGTCCTTAATTTTTACTATTCTTAATCACTATCTAAACTGCTTTCAATAGTATGACATGTGAGGAATCAAAGACCATTAATACCACAATGCCGAAGTAAAATACACTGGCCTCAAGTCTAACTGCTTCAGTTCATATTCTGGACCAGCAAGCCTACTTGGGGTTTGGCCTTGGTCAAGTCATGCAATTTCCTCATCTGTAACTTGGAGGGTGATACCAGTACTTAACAATTCAGTTTGTTATAAAGATTAAATGAGATAATTCATGCAAAGCATACAACACAGTACTTGGTACATACTGCTCATTCCGTGTCAGCATTTGTTACTGTCAGTATTACACTGAGGGACTACCCACACAAGTATTTATGAAATCAGCTTTAGATGGTTTATTTCGTTTAAGGTAATATCCAATACGCTACTTGGCATCACAGAGCTGAATATGGTAGTATTATCAAACAGAATATTAGATATATATTACAAAGCCTGGAGGGGAAAAAAAACCCTCAACTTTTGAAAACTTGGCAGAATGTAAACATCTGATAATTGGCTTCATTATTACTATTAAATTATTTTTGTAAGCATCGAAGATTTGTAATCTTAAAACATTACAATTTTGTTACATTACACAAACTTGTAACATTGCAAGTTTGTGGTATGATATCTCAAACTATACTGTTTTCATTGTTGTTGTTGTTTTGGTTTTTTCTTTTTAGACGGAGTTTCCCTCTTGTCACCCAGGCTGGAGTGCAACAGCACAATCTTGGCTCACTGCAACCTCTTGCCTCCCAGGTTCAAGTGATTCTCCTGCCTCAGCTTCCCAGGTAGCTGGGATTACAGGTGCCTGTCACCACACTCAGCTAATTTTTGCATTTTTATTAGAGACGGGGTTTCACCATGTTGGCCAGGCTGATCTCGAACTCCTGACCTCAAGTGATCCGCCCACCTCGGCTTCTCAAAGCGCTGTGATTATAGGTGTGAGGTGCCGCACCTGGCCCTCAAAATAGCCTTCAAGGTACTACTATACAGAAAGGATTTTTTAACCCCTTTACTGAGATATCATTGATATATAAAAGTTGCATACATTTAAGGTGTACAACTTGATGTCTTGATATATGTATACATTGTAAAATGATCACCACAGTCAAGCTGACATATCCATTACCTCTATACAGCTATTATTGTGTATGTGTGTTGAGAACATTCAATTTAAGATCTATCCTTTTAGTAAATTACAAGCGCACAATACAGTACTATTAATTGTCATCACTGTGTGGTACATCAGATCTCCAACAATCTAAACGAATTTTAAAGCACACAAAGCTTTGTAACTTTATAACTATGCACTTATTGTTTTAAACACTGACTGCTTATATTTTTCTTTTCTTTTTTTCAGACAGAGTTTCATTCTTCTTGCCCAGGCTGGAGTGCAATGGCACAATCTCGGCTCACTGTAACCTCTGCATCCCAAGTTCAAGCAATTCTCCTGCCTCAACCTCCCAAGTAGCTGGAATTACAGGCATGCACCACCATGCCAGCTAATTTTGTATTTTCAGTAGAGACGGGGTTTCACCATGTTGGTCAGGCTGGTCTCGAACTCCTGACCTCAAGTGATCCATCTGTATCGGCCTCCCAAAGTGCTGGGATTACAGATGTGAGCCACCACACCAAGCTGTGTTTATATTTTTCATAAGTGATTTGATAGTTTATAATATCATAATGTAAGAGCTATTTCATTATTTGATAATTCAGATGCTCTACTAATAGCTGTTTCTTTTTGTCAAGAATGGCAAAAACCTCAACTAAAACCACATATTCATAGAGAGTTCAGTTACTGGGTTACCGTTATGCTTAAACACCTGCTCTTAACATCCAACTTCTGCAGAGTAAAACAGCCAACGAATGTGGAAAATTTTTAAGCAGCTGTACATCTGCATCTTAATAACCAACCGATTGTACTCTTAAAAAGATAAAAGTCAACTGTGAGTCAACATTGTATGCTAATGTTAGTCTCATA